AAAGATAGATAATAATTATGTCTCCTCATGAGCAAGAGAGGTCAAGGACATCTGCCTTTAGTGTTGCCTTTCTGGTACATTTGATTTCATTTCCATAGTCATTCTAATCTTAGGCTTTTTATCTAGAGAAGATTTTTAGAAACTGTTGTGTCTATGAAAATTCTGGATCCTTCTTATAGGAAAGGCCTTCAGCCAAATAAACTTTTGGTGATTCTAGAACATTTTTGGGTGAAGAAGATGTGGCTTGAAACATCACTTACAAATAATTTTTGCCAGCTATGTATTTTAAACTTCTATCATACCTTAAAATACTATCATACCTTAAAATACTCTAACTAGGGCTTTTGATAGATTTCTAATGAAATAGGGGGTATAGTTGCTTATTCCTTAGCTGAAGCAACTTTATAGGTGGCAGGGAAATCACCTGATTTCTAAGAAGTAAAAATTGAATTAGAAAGATTTGATTTACCGTACCAAGAGGCAGGCTATTTATTACCTATTCGTATGTGAAGGTGGGCCTAATATATATCCTGGGAGTGATGAATAATGGCTTTTACATGAAGGATGGAGATGAATAAACAAATTACATATTTACTCTGGGATAGAAACTTGACATTAAACAGATCATCTTATGTTTCACTGTTTGAAACTCAGTCCATTTCAGAAACTAATTCTCTAGCAGCAGGTAGTAACATGGAAATATATTAAATATACATAGAAAACTCAGATACTTGAGCATTCAAAAAAGCCAGTTTATTTTTACACAAATAAAACAAGGTTAAATAAATGTTGCCAAATATCATATTAAAATAATAAAAAATAATTAATACTAATAAACCAGCAGGGAAGTGGCTAGCCAAGGCTATTAGGCCACCTATTACTTGTCTGCATATCACAAATGAAGTGAAAAACATGTATGATTTGTAACATCAGAGCTGCTGTGATGTTCCAAAGTTTTCCCCTATTCAGTCCTTCAACTTAGAGGTAAAACTGAATAGCTGATATATAGTTTGCTTTATGTTTATCAATCAGCAGATAAATAAGTACTACTTTTACAATTTAGGACATTGTAAAAGCAGTTGGGATAACTGAAATTCAAAATGTAAATATTATAGCTATTAAGGGAAAGAATGTTTGAGTTCCTTCCCAAACTAGAATGTGACAGTGGACTTGCTGAACTATCCTTATCACATCTGTAAAGTGAAGATACCTGCCTCACTGTATTATTGTCAGGAATAAATGATATCTGTGTAAATTGCTTAGCTCAGTACCTTGGCCACAGTTAGTGTTTCTTAACACATCATCATAATTATTCCTAAGTATTTGTTCAAGCAGTATTTTTAGCAGCTGAGCTTTGAGATTTACATGTAATGGTAACTAATAGAAGAAGTAATCTTACAAAAATTTTTATTGCTCACCTGCTATAAGTAGGCTCTGAAAATACAAAAGCTGGTAAAACATAGATCTGAGCCCCTAATACACTAGAGCCCATAGGCAGTCATGTGAACAACTAATAACACACTACACTATTTCAACTTTCTTTGCCTTTCTCTTTGCCTTGAATACCCTACCCTAGTCCAGAGTTGAACATTCATACACCTTGAAAATTAGCTTTGGCTATTGTTCTTCTTAGAAACTTCCTTGTCTCACCCCATCCACCATGGAGTTATTTACTCCTTCCTTTGAATGTCCCTTTATCTTCTACATTTTTACATCACTGTCTTTATCACACAGTATAGCAATTTCCTTATTTACATGCCTATCTCTCCTACCAGACTGTTAATGTCATGAGAGCTATCATTCATTTTTTGTGATCACAGCACAAGACCTGGCACCTACTAAGTACTACATAAATCTGGATGAATGGATACCATCTACCCTTTTTTCATCTCCAATCCCTTTCCCATATTCAAACATCCACCTTTGAAAAACAGTGATGGAACATCAAAGAAATGAACCAAAACTCAGATATAGAAAGTAATATTAAAAAATCAATTTGAAGAGAAAGCATTATTATTCTTTCTTGTTATATTCATGTATGGTAAAGCCCTATTAATGTGACATTCTTAATTCAAAATGAATTATATTGTTCATAGAATTGTACTGAGAATGAGCATTACTTCATGTTTGAAGATCGTTCCCTAAGCAGAGTAACACTGTTTAATCCATTGCATGCATTTTAGCAGCATCTATTTAAGTATATTTAATTACATTAATTAAAAATAATAGTCACCTATTTATTAAAGTGGGACTTGTTATTTACCAACTTGCTACTAGAATAAAAATGTTGTTATTGATATATAGATGTACATATTTGGGGGGTATATGTGATATTTTGAGATCTGTATACAATGTATAATGATGAAATCATTCTAATTGGGATAAATCAAACATTTATCTTTTATGTTAAGAATATCATGCCTCTTCTAGCTACTTTGAAATATACAATATTATTGTTAACTATAATTTCCCCACCGTACTATCAAATACTAGAACTTATTTCTTCTATCTGACTCAATTTTTTTTTTTTTTTTGCCCCTTAACCAACTTTTCTGCATCTCTCTCTCCCTCTTCCCTTGTCAGCCTCTAGTATCCACCATTCTACTCCCTGCGTCCATGAGCTCCACTTTTTAAGCTCTCACATATGAGTGAGAACATGTGATATTTGTGTCTGGCTTTACTTCACATAATGACCTCCAGTTCCATCCATGTTGCTGCAATTAACAGGACTTCATTCTTTTTATGGCTGGATAATATTCCAGTGTGTGTGTGTATGTGTGTGTGTGTGTGTGTGTGTGTGTGTGTGTGTGTGTGTGTGTGTGTGTGTGTGTCGCCTTTTATTTATATGTTGATGGACAATTGGGTTGATTCCATATCTTGACTATTGTTAATAGTGCTACAGTAAACATGAGAGTGCAGATATCTCTTCAGTATACCGATTTCCTTCCTTTCTTTTGGGTATACCCAGCAATGGGATTGCTGTATCATATTGTAGTTCTGTTTTTAGTTTTTTTGAAAAATGGCTATACTTTTCCATAATGGCTGTACTTCATTTCATCAACAGTGCATGAGTGTTTTCATCTCTCCATGTCCTCACCAGATTTTTTTTTTTTTTTAAGACAGGCTCACTCTGTTGCCCCAGCAGGAGTGCAGTGGTGTCATAATGCTCACTACAAGCTCAAACTCCTAGACTCAAGTGATTCTTTTGCCTCAGCCTCCCAAGTAGCTGGGACTACAGGTGTGTACCACCACACCCAGCTAATTTTTCTATCTTTTGTATAGAGATGGGGTCTCGCTGTTGCTCAGGCTGGTCTCAAAACATGTGAGCTCAAGTGATCCTCCTGCCTCTGCCTCCCAGAGTACTAGGATTACAAACATGATTATTTTTTAATAGCTATTCTAACTGGGGTGAGATGGTATCTTATTGTGGTTTAATTTGCATTTTCCTTATAATTAGTGATGTTGAGCATTTTTTTTAATATACCTGTTGGCCATTTGTGAGTCTTGAGAAATGTCTGTTAAGGGCTTTTGCCCATTTTTAAATCAGATTATTTGTATCTTTTTTGCTATTGAATTGAATTCCTTATATATTTTAGTTCTTAATCATGTTAGATGGATAGTTTGCAGTTATTTTCTCTCAATCTATAGGTTGTCTCTTCACTTTGTTGTTTCCTTTGCTGTACAGATGTTAATTTTAGCTTCATGTAATCCCATTTGTCAGTTTTTGCTTTTGTTGCCTGTACTTTTGAGGTCTTACCCCCAAAAACTATAGCATTTTCCCAATGTTTTCTTTTAATAATTTCATAGTTTCAGGTCTTAAATTTAAGTCTTTAATCTGTTTTTATATAGTGAAAGATCCACATTCTTCCGCATGTGGATATCCAGTTTTCCCAGCACCATCCATTAAAGAGACTGTCCTTTCCTCTCCTTGTTTTCTGTTCTTGGCACCTTTTTGAAAATGAGTTGACTGTAAATGTATGGATTTATTCTGGGTTCTCTATTCTATTCCATTGGTCTATGTGTCTGTTTTTTAATGCCAATTTCTTGCTGTTTTGGTTACTATAGCTTTGTAGTGTAATTTGAAATCAGCTAGTATAGCGTTCCCAGCTTTGTTCTTTTTGCTCAGGATTGCTTTAGCTGTTTGTGGGCCTTTAGTGGTTCCATGAGAATTTTAGTATTTTTTCTATTTCTATGAGGAATGTTATTGGTATTTTGATAGAGATGGTATTGAATCTGTAGATCACTTTGGGTAGTACTACTGGCATTTTTCTTTAACAAACTGTACTTGAAGCAACAAAAAATGCAATTCTGGAAAAAGTCTGAACAGGAAAATAGTTCCTCTTCTTCCTAATTAATCCAAGTTAAAGAGCTCTCAAACTTCCTACCTCCAGTGTTGAGTGGCTATAGAATAAAGACATAGTTAGAAAGACTATCCTAATTTCACATCAAATCCATTTTATCGGTATATTTTGGTGTATGGATCTTGAGTTCCAAAGAGCCCTTCAAAATTAGTATTCTATATTTATGATAAAGCATTCACTGGTGGTTAATTTTAACTATATGAATCCTAGTAAATGTATCTCTTAAAACTATTTTTTTTCTAAAATTATTCTCAACACTTGAAAATCCACTTTTTGTGAGATGGACTAATCTCACAACTAAACCAAATATAAACTAAATCTAAATTATGATTTAGTCTAAGTCTCCTTTAGGAAAAACATTTACACTTACTACTTACACTGATTTTTGTTTCACTGTTGCCCAAGCTGACCTTTCTATGATTCTTTATAGCAAAATTAAATTGGTAATGTTCTTTGTAATTTTTTTGGTAATGTTCTAAGTCTCACATAAGTTTTTCCTGGTATACCATATTTGTTATTTTAAAACTAAGATGTATTTTACATTTATACTCAAAAGCAGTTTGTCATGTGAGAAAGTTGGATAAAAGATTAAGAGTTAGAATCTATTTTGTACCTTAGATTTTTACTAATATTATTTACCTGCATATCAGTCTACCTGCCAGTTCATCATCTCTTTATCTGAATTTCAATCTGACTTTCAATCTCTTTCAGTTCATAGAAGGTAAAAACCAGAAAATCCAATGCTATTTCAAGTTGTCCAGATTACCTAAGATAAAATGAAATTAATAAAAAAAATCTTAAAATTCTTAAGAGGGTACCAACACTATTAAGAGACTATTATACTGACTGTTCAGTAAAATATTTGATTATATTTTATCTTTCAAAAGAATGTCACACTCAAGAAAATATCTTTTTTGTGCTTGGTAAATTGCTCATTTAACTATCTAGAGAATGAATTAGTATCTGACTTCACTTTTTCAGAATTCATTCGTAAGCCAGAAAAATCAAGAATTTGAGCATAATATTACTTAAATCTTAGGATGCCTATAAACTTCATCTGAAAAAAGTTTTTTTTATATATGGATGCTATTGTTCGAATATTTGTGGGCCCTCTCCCTCCAAATTTATGTGTTGATATCCTAACTCCCAGTGTGATGATATTAGGAGACATAGTCTTTGGGAGGTAATTAGGTCATGAGGGTGGAGCCCTCATGAATGGAATAAGTACCCTTGGGAAAGAGGGCTCCAAAAGGAGCCCCACCACTTCTGACATGGGAGAGCTCGATTGCCGACATCCTGATCTCACACTTCCAGCTTTCAGAACTGTGAGAAGTCAATTTCTATGTTCATAAGCTGCCAAGACTATATCTAGATATAGACTATATCTATTCCTATTACATGATTCATTAGTTGAGTTTGATCCCTAATTAGAGCTCTATTTTGAATTCCTTTTTTGGCTTACTTATTTTCTTAATTTGCATCAAGTTGTATTGCTGTTTCATTTAGCCTTATTTGACTAAGATTCCTTTAATCATGTGAATATGTGCGTGTGTGCATACACATATTTCTTTCAGAACCAGAGTTTCCAGGTATTTACACCAAAGTGACCAATTACTACTATTGGGTTAACCATCATGTGGGCAGGTTTCTTATTCCTCAGCGCAATGTATAAAGCTGTAATCTCCCTCATTTTTCTACTCCTGTCCTCTCAGGAGTTCCATGTTAATTGAAATGAAACAGTACATAATTAATCTTTCTCTAGGAAAAAAAACAAAGCAGATTTTATTGCCTAACATGTCTACAAAATTTATGCCATATTGGAATCTTCCTATCCTCAAATATTTTAGTCAGGCATAAAATAAGCACTATTTACATATATTATATTTATATTTCCCCCATAAATCATGAGCCTAAAAGCTATTTCTTCCAATTCTATTACTCTTCAGAAATGATTGCCTATTGATTTTACTGGTTTTGTCTTTTACTTCTTTCCTTCTCTTTAAAGATTAATATTAAGGCCAGGCCTGGTGGCTCACGCCTGTAATCCTAGCACTCTGGGAAGCCAGGGCAGGTGGATCGTTTGAGCTCAGAAGTTTGAGACCAGTCTGAGCAAGAGCGAGGCCCTGTCTCTACTAAAAAAAAAAAAAAAAGATTAATTTTAATCATAGCCATTTTGTGAATAAGAGATTTATTATGCATCCTTTATTCCCTGAAACTTAAAGACAATCAGTTTTCACATTGTTGTCTGGTACACACTCATTTCTTATCACTGAAACTCTCCAGCGTTTTGTTTCTTTTCTTTCTCAGGAGTGCTCTCAGGACTTCATTATTACTGATGTATAGCCACTGTCCTGATTACTTTCCTTCTTGTCTGGTTACCCAATTACTTGTCTTTCTCCTAGGCCTGACCTCTTCTTGATTTTTATAGTAGACCAAGAAGTTTTCTTCCCTTAGGCTTTAGTCCTTCATTATAATGTCTTAAGTGCAATTATGTGTCATGCACTAAACTTAAGCTACAAAGATGCCTCCAAATTATCTCCATTATGCTCAACTTGGATTCTCAATGCCTTCTGAACACATTATGCCCATTCCCGAATGGAACATTTGCCCTGGATTGCAATGTCATTCTCACCATTCCTATTTCATTCTTAACCAGCATCCCTCAGTACCCAGCTGCTTTGAGCTTTTGCTGAACTTAATAGGTACATTTAAAAATAATACATTAGAAACGTTTATTTATAGTAAAGTGATATTTCTACCAAGGGTTTCAAATAATAGGTCTGTATAGTTTTCCAAAAGAGAGCCTAAATTTTGGGATTCTAAGTTTGAATATGGTATGTTATCACTTTTCAACTATTTCTGCTATATGCCAGGAGCTGTTGTAGTATTTTTGGATGATTTTTCAACACTAAGTTTGCTTTGTGAGTGAATATAATTATTGAAGTGGTAAAACAACCAAAGCAGAACTATTTCTTTTGGTTAAAAACCAATAAGACCAAGATTGTGCCTGTATTCCCATGTGGATCAGTTAATTTCCCACCAACAAATACTTTTAGTATTCACATGAATATGACTATTTTAATACAGATTCGTTTATCATGGTCATCAGTGCAAGCTTCAAATTCCAAGGTTAACAGATATAGAAATATATAGAATATATCACAAATATAGAAATTTTAATGAAAACATTTATTTAGCAAAGTTTTTTAATTGCAGTGCCAGAGATGTGCCATTAAAGTGATATATTAATAAATGTATATAAGTTCTTTATAAATAGTATAATTTAATTGGCATATCATATAAATATAAAATGATCGTTAAACTATAAAAACTTTAAAATTGCCGCAAAAAAGAATAGAATAAAGTCGAGATCAAGTCAGATTTGGGTCCAACTTTAACATTGGGCTGCTTGGATGTGATGAGGGGCAGAGGCATTTAGCAAACTTCACTTTTGCTAGGTAGAAGGCTTGTTGGTTGGTTTTGGGGGGGTTGTTTGTTTGTTTTGACACAAAGTCTCGCTCTGTCACCTGCCTAGAGTGCCTTGGCATTAGCCTAGCTCATAGCAACCTCAAATTCCTGGGCTCAAGCCATTCTCCTGCCTCAGCCTCCTGAGTAGCTGGGATTACAGGCACATGCCACCATAGCTAGCTAATTCTTGCTCAGGCTGGTCTCAAACTCCTGAACTCTAGCAATCCTCCCGCCTTGGCCTCCCAGAGTGCTAGAATTATAGGCATGTAAAATTTTTACACAGCTCTGGGCCTGGTTGGTTGTTTTCTATCCAGCTTTTTTCTCAGAAGGATTTCAGGTGGCAGGTATAGTAGTTAGATTTAATCAAATAGACAAATGGAAGGAAGACCTGTAGCGCTTTCATGGACAAATAATGAGCTGGTAAGTGTGTTTGAGAAAGATTATCCTTGTAGCTGTGTTAACAGTACAGCAGAGTATATTGCTCAGCTTTTAAAACCACAAACATTTTCTGCTACTGTGTATCTTGCTGGATCTTACCAGCAAGTTGGAAAATGCATATTCCTTGAAATAATTATAGTTGATTCCTTCTGCAGCAAACTACCAGGTCTACTGTATTTCAACTCCATCAGTTAAAAGAGACCTTGGAGAAGTTCTTTCATGAAGTGAGTCTTTGTTAAAATGGCTGAGAAGTGAGGTTTGTTTCAGAGGTCACTACCTACCCTTTCAATACTTCTCATCATTAACTGCGATCCTGCTGTTCTTTTACTGTCCTAGACTTCTACCTGAACTAGGAATTGTTTTAGACTTTGTCCTGTCCAAAATCATCACTTCTATGTCTCATTTCTTTAAATGTTTTTCACAAACTGATAATTCAGTTGTTTCTTTCTAATGTCTTTTTTTTCCTTCCTCTCTCTATATTATGAATATTCAACATCAACTTTTATTTTAATTCTGTAAAGGAGTTGTTCTATTGGTAGAAAGTTTACACATCATAACCACCTACTTGGCAAGTTTTGATAGCACCTTGATCCTTTGAGTAGTGCTCTTCAACTCACACTAGCTCAGTATATGCTCCACTCTTGTTTCCCATCCCTTGTCTTTAGCTTAACCACAAATAAATTTAAAGAAAGGTAAGAAGATCTCTAGAAATGGGATTGTACAATTTTCTTTCCAGGACAGTGAAACAATAATTTACAACAGAGACTTTGGAATTGGAAAGAATTTAGAATTATAATTCCATGTCATATTAGCTGTATGACCTTGGGTAGTACAGTTAACATGCTCATTGTGCTGCTTCAGTGAAATAATTTGTATTAGAAACTCAGCATTAATATATAATACAACATATATAAGAAACTTAAACTATGTAAGACACAGTACCTGGCACTGAGTAAACAAACACTCAGAAAATTATTGACTGAATGTTGTATTTTTTGCCACAGGGAATAAATTATCAAAGAAATCATTTAAGAAATGATCTTAGAATTTAAAAAAAGACTATGAGTTTCTAGATGGAGGTATAATACAATGAAAGAAAATCATAGTCCTTATCAAATTTCAGAACACCAACACCAAAACAAAGATCCTAAAAGCTTCCAACAAGGAAAAATAAATCAGAAGATCAAAAATTAGAATGGTATCACATTGTCCAAGGCAACACTGTTAGAAAAAGTGGAGGAAGCCCTTCGATTTTTGAAGGAAAATTGTTTTCAACAAGAATTCTGAACATACCCAAATTGTCAATCAAGTATAAGGACAGCATCTGCATTTTCAAACATTCAAGATCCCATAAAATTTACCTCCCTTGCACTTTTCTCAGGGAGCTACGGAAGGATATACTCTGAAAAAAAAATAAAAGTGAACCAAAAATGATGACAATGCAGGATTCAGGAAACAAGGAAAACAATACAGGAAGGGAATCTCTAGGATTATTACAATAAAAGAAAGTCCAGGTCCAGGACACCAGCTGTGCAGTAGGCCTGGAAGATTATAGTCCAGATCACAGTCTTGATGACAGGAGGGGCAATAAGGGTTCCAGGAAGAATGCCCACAAGAAGATGAAAGTAATGGGATCATCTAATGTGTCTAAATATATAGGAATTTGTATTTCTAGCAGAGAGTTTGGAGATGAGCTAGTGGCAAGTCTATAGAAAATTAAGCAAAGAGAAAAATGAAAACAATTATTAACTCCAGGGCAAAATGATTAGTGGAACAAGAAGGAAATGTAATTTCTACTATAC